GAAGCAAAGTAGCTTTAATTGTTTAACGTCCAAGGAATGATTTCAGATCTCCTTTCTTATTCATGCTATTCTCTGGTGATTAGCCACATTTCAGTATCATTTCTCTATTAAAAACACACACACATACACACACACACACACACACACATAAGTAAATTGATGTTCTCTTTGAAATATGTTGGAATCGTGTTTAAGGATACTTTTTCTTCAAATAATTGAAATGCTCTTCAGAGAAAATACACATTTTGACAGCTATTAAAGAAAGTAAAACAATATATTGTCTTGTTTTTCATTATTGACTTTTAGGAATACAGTTGGCTTATTTGTATCTTTGTTGATCATCTATGGGCAATTTGAATGAAATAGAAAATTTGGGATTACTAACATTTTTGGAGTTGGAAAAATTTTGTTTTTCTTGAAACAAGACTTGAAAACAGAGGGATTTCCCAAGATTAACATCAAATCAGAAGTAAGACTTCTTTTGCTTGAATAAAATCAAAACACTAACCACAAAAATGCAACAAGTTCTGCAAAGTGTAGATTTCACGACCAGCAAGTTTGGACTAAGTTCTCCCATTGGTTGAAAGAGACTGAAGCAAGAGTGGTGTGATGTGAAAACCCACCAATGAGCAGCACGTGTTGGGATAATAAGTGATGTCGCACCTGTCAGTACCTTACAGGGCTGGACACACTGGTGGTGAGCACACCTCACTCTGTCCATGAAGTCACCGATCCTGGGCTTTTGAGGAAGATGCCAAGCAGTGTACACACTTTGTTAAAGCAGTTGTTTGTCTCTCCATGTACCACTTTTGCAGAGTCGGGGGTGGAGAGGTCCCCACAAGGGAAACACGGTATGTGGCCCTGGAATCAAGAAAGAGCTGGCTCTCATGGGAACTCATCTCATCCTCCAATCAGAAGAGCAAAGCTGATGTCAATCAACCAAGAGGTTCTTATTGAAGAACCTCTAAATGTCAGGGCTTTGTGTGGCAGTGCTTTAAAGAGTGGTCTAAACAGAATTCAAATTCTCCACGATAGGGCACAACCAGTTTTTCATCTTTGAGATTGTTTATCATTTTATTCTCACCTAGAAAGTGCTGACCTACAGGGCTGTGACAGGAGCACATGGACAAAGTGGCAGTGGGGGAGAGCAATTCAGTTTTTTCATTGGCTTTTCTCTATGCAACTGAAGAACCACTCTCTGAAGAAGATTAGCACTGTATCCAAACACTAAACGCACATATACATGCACTCACGTGGTTATTTTTCACAGATGAATGATGGCTCTAATTCTACGTGGGTTAAACCAGTGAAATACCTCCTCCAACTTCCTTGTTTTCAGGATGGAATTCTGTAAATCTAGGCTTTAAATTCCCGCCTCCTAGTTCAGAGCTCTCTCCCTCAGAAGCTGTGAGAAAGGAGGACAGGACTAGATTTTTTCTGAAGCAGAGAAACCCAAGTGGCATTCTTGAAAAGACTTCTGAGCATCAGTAGACACCTGTTCTGAACAAATTTGAGGCTTAGAATTCTGGGGGTGGCATTCAAGTGAATCCATTCAAAGTGAATTACAACCTCCCAGGAAGTGAGATTGGTGGGAATGAGCAGACAAGCGAGAAGAGATGGGGGTTGAATCCAAGCTCCCCTACCTACCAGCAGCATAACCCTCTGCAAGTCACTGTATACATCTTGGCCTCCATTCCTGAATTTGCAAAACGTGAACAAAATCTACACAAATGTACCAACCTTGAGTTGGTTACGAGGCTTAAAGGAATCACTGTATTAACAAGTTTTTAGTAAACTAGTGAGCCCTTCATTTAGGAATATGTAAAGCAGACAATTAGACTAAGTCCATTTTCTTGCCAGGGTCCTAATCTAAATGTGCACATTTAAGGGGACTCGTTTTCTAATAATTAGGGTCACATCCTTCCCTCCAGCTGGGCGCATGATGAGTTCCTCGGGTCACCTTCTGCTCTGACTCGCCTTCCTCTTAATTTCAAAAGCCCAGCACATTCACTGCACTTTTCAAAACAGAATAATGGTTTCACTGGGGAAGCAACAGATATGGTGAAGCGTCTGCTTTAATGCAAAAGCTTAAAAAACCAAAATGAACCAATAAAAAAGTGAGGCAGTGCTCGGGCTGGGCACACCTACACCTCCATAGGCAGCTTCAGTCTGAGCTGCCTCCACTGAGGGTAAGCCTGTATTCTAATTCCCCTTTAAATTAAAATTTAAATTAATTTTTATTGAGATACAATTGACCTATACCATATTCATTTTAGGTGTATAACATAATTAAACAATTTTTCCAATCCCCTTAATTTCTTTTCTTTTTCCCTTGTAGAACATTTGATGTCCTTGTTATTTTTTTTATCTTTATTAAAAGAAAAATTTTTTAACTTTTTATTTTATATTGTAGTATAGTTGATTAGCAATGCTGTGATAGTTTCAGGTGTACAGCAAAGTGATTCAGTTATACATATACATGTATCTACTCTTCTTCAAATTCTTCTCCCATTTAGGTTGATACATAATATTGGGCAGAGTTCCCTGTGCTATATAGTAGGTCCTTGTTGGTTATCCATTGTAAATACAGCAGCGTGTAGCTGTCAATCGCACCCTATCCCCCTTAATTTCTGATGAGAAAATATGAACACAGGCCACAGCAGGGGAGAGGGGTGAGGTTCAAAAACCATGGCCTTTGAATCCGACAGAAGGAAGTTCAGAAGCTGCACGGGCTAATTCCTGGCCGGCGTGGCCCTGGGACACCCCGCTCCACCTGGCAGAGCCCTGCCTTGCTACATGGCACACGGATGCCTGCTTCACTGGGCTGAGGCCAGGACCCACTGCCATCGCTTGGACAGGCGGCCTGGCTCAAATTAAGGGCGCCCTAGACGTCAGCTTCCCTTCTCCTTACGACCTTAGATTTTAAATTGAAAGCTGCATCCTTCCGGAGCAGCAAAGTGTCTGCAGCAAAGACTGCTGGCCAAATTCAAATTTGTTTTTGGAGAAAAGGAGATTTGGTGCTCCAAGAGCAAGTACCCTCTCTGAACTTCACCCACAAAGAAGCTGGCAGGAGAGCTTCCTGGGACGGGCGCTTCTGTTGGTGCTCACAGCATCGGCGGGGAAGGAAGGGAAGGCCTGGTTCCCCAGGGAGGAGCCTCCTCTCCGTGGGCTGGTTGGCGCTGCCGGCCACATAACCCAGGGCTGACATCAGCGCCCGCAGAGGAAGCCGCTCCTGCCGGTTCGGGGTCTGAGCGGGTCTCCTCTGAGAGGCAGGCTCTGGGGGGCGGGGACAGAGGGGGCCTGGGTGGCTATTCTGTTGTCCCGAAGGCGTTTCCATCTCTAAGGCACATCCTGGGGCACATTCCTTCCAGCGTTCTCTCCAGCAGCCCAGCTCTAACCACGCCCCATCAACCCAGGCACAAGCCATAGGAAAACAAACAAGGCTTTGATTCCTTTGTGAGAAAATCAAAAAGCTGCTGAAACCCAAAGGAGAGAGAGGGAGAGAGAGGGAGAAGGAAGGAGAGAGAGACAGAGAGACAACACTTGCTCCCACACACTGTTTACTCCTTTCGTCAAACGGACCCAATCAGAAAGAGAAATTGGGGTTTTGCTTTATGAAGTGCCTGCAAATGTTTGGGAGCCCTTCTGGCTGCTGTGCCCAGTCAATGAGGTCTCTGAAACTAGCCTTTCAGAGTCAATCTTCTGAAGTTAAAAAAAAAAAAAATCCCTTAACACTCTCGCCCTGGAAAAAAAAGATGGCTTGCCAAATTCAATTTTCCCTTGGCCAAAGTAAGCACTAGCAATTCAGCCCTCCAACAAGGTTATAAAGAAAGTATTTCCCCTTGACTTCAGAGAAAACACCTTTCATGTGACCTCCAAATATGTGACTTCGTTTAAAGGTACACAAACCAACTTGTCCATTTGATTTTTTTTTTTTTTTGCTTACTCCCTCACAGTGCTATTTACTGAATTCTGTGATGAGAAGCCGGCAAGGAGGTTACCCTCTGGGGAGAAGGGGGACAAGGCGGGGCTCCCAGGGGGCTCTGGATGCTGTCATATTCTGCTGAGCTGGGGCTTGTTCTCTGTGGAAACTCACCCAGCTGCACACCGTGGGCTCTGCCCTCTTCTGAGGGTAAAAAGGGCACTTCCCAACCAAAGCAGCGCAAACCCCTCGCCTCTCAGAAGACAGCAAAAAACGCCTTTTCCTTGCACACAACCTGCAGAGACGCACCTTCAGGAGACCCTCAACAGTCGTGTCACACACACAGCACAAAATCAGGTGGGCAAACGGACCCTCAGAAGGCAAGCTCCATCCCTGAACAGACCCATCTGCTACTCCATCGGTCACCCCCCACCCCAAACATGTCCAAGCCTGGCGCATAGCAGCCAAGTCGGGTATAACGTGAAGTCTCCTTCAAGAAGCTGTGTTTCCAGTTCAAATCAGCCCAGGGGCTGCAGTGTGTTGCTGTTTTGAACTCCAGAGAAAACTCCATCCAACAGAACTAACACAGGATGCGCTGTCCTGCCAGGCTACATATATATATATATATATATATATATATATATATATATATATATTTGTTGTAGTTTTATTGAAGTATAGTTGATTTACAATGTCATGTTAGTTTCAGGTGTCTAGCAAAGTGATTCAGATATACAGATATATATATATTTTTTCTTTTTCAGCCTCCTTTCCCATATAGGTTATTATGAAATATTAAGTATAGTTTCCTGTGCTATACAGTAAGTTCTTGTTGGTTATCTATTTTATATAGAGCAATGTGCATCTGTTAATCCCAACCTCCTAATCTATCCCTACCCCCCTTTCCCTTTGGTAACCGAAAGTTTGTTTTCTATGTCTGTGAGTCTCTTTCTGTTTTGTAAATAAGTTCATCTGGGTCTTTTTTTTTTTTTTTGATTCCACATATAAGCGATTATATATATATATATATAAAATATATATATATTTATTTATTTTTTAAGGCAAGGTGGGTACTCACCTATTTGGTCTTCGGGGATTAGCGACTCGATGGGGGGGTCCAGCTCCGAGCTCTGGGACAAGTAGTTCTTCACCTGGGTCATGAACTGCCGGACGGTCTGCAACAGGTCCGTGCTGGACACGTGGCACTCCTTGTTCTCCTGCAGGAAGCTCACGTAGTCCTGCACCAGGCAGCCGAAGTAGGTGCGCTTGTCGCGGGCCAGCTCGGCGATCCTGCGCACCATGCGCTTCTCGGGGGTCAGGAAGGAGCTGAACACCCCGCTCATCTTGCGAAGCTGGGACTTGACGAGCTTGGGCAGCACGAAGGAGCTGTTCCTCTTCTTCTTGGACTTGATGGGGGGGGCCATAGTCTCCTGGTCGCTCTCCACGTCGTAGTCCTCCAGGCTGCTGTTGGTGTCCGCCTCGTAGCCAAACAGGGGCATGCTGCGGTCCAGGTCCAGCGAGTCAGAGGAGGAAGTGGAAATGCTCATGTCACTCAGCCTCTGTCTGCCTCCGCGCCACGGGGGCCGGGATGGGGATGCAGGGGCGGCGGCCGGCCGGGCCCTTGTGCAATCCCGCGGGGCCTCCTCCTCCACCGCCGCCGGGGCTCCACCTGCGCCGCCGGCCGGGCCCGCCGCGGGCTCCGGGAGAGGCCGGCCGCCGATCAAGGTCTTGGCGCCGCCCTCCGCCTCGAGAAAAGACGCCTGCTTCTTGAGCCGGGGCGGAGGGACGGGGGTTGGTTTCGCTCCAAGCCGAGCTCCGTCGCCGTGTTGGTGATGGGCCACGGTTTCCGGCATGCTCGCGGCGGCCGCGGGCCCGGACAGCTGGGGGCTGCCGTGCACACTATTAATAGCGGGGGGCGGGGGCCGGGGTGGGGGGGACCGAGGCCTCTCCGTGCCATTCGCGTCGGGGGGAGTCCGGGTGCAGGGCCGCTTCGGGCCTCCGCCGAGCTCCTGGCTGTGCACTTTGAAGAACAGAGGATTAATAAAGCACAGGGCTCCGTTGGTCTGGCTGCACTCCAGCTCCGAGGGCGTCCTGGTTTTTATAGAATGCACTCCATTTATAAGGCAGAGCTGACGCGAGGCAGGACCCACACCGTCGGAGGAGAGAGGCCTATGGGGAGGTGGAGGGTTTGGGGGTTTGTTGTCAGCTGGAGAGCTCCAAAAATCTGAAAGTCATTATCAGTGAACACAAGAATGTAAATACAGTGCACTCGGCCAGTCCTTCACAAAAAATCACACTTGCCTGGCAATGCACAGCTTTGGAAGGGGAGGCGCTGCTACACTGGAGTGTGGTGTTTTTCTTTCTTTCTTTCTCTGTCTCTCTCTCTCTTTTTTTTTGTTTTTGTTTTTGTTTTAACTGCATTCCTTTACTGGAAAGGGTGGAAATGCTGCCAGGCCCAGCTGCCGGCTCGTGGGAAGGCTCCGGAGGCTTTTCACCTTCAAAGCCCTTGCGGGATGGCTTGGCTGTGGCACTGAGCCGGCCAGGCCTTTCCCCAGGTGAGAAAAAAGGAACTGGGGTGGTTACAGTACGAGCTCGGAAAAGGCCATGGGACTCCCTACTTGCTCCACAAAGACCAAGTCCTCCCACTAAGCAGCAGCATCCTTTCTGATTCCTTCTCCCGGGGTGCCCTCCGCAGGGGGCCCGCAGTTCCCCTTTAATAGGCAGGACCAGCAGCTGGGCCTGGCGGACGTTACACAATCCGCCTGGGGTTTGACACATTCAGCATTAAAACCCAAAAGGAGGAAAAATACACTCATGGGTCCCATCAGCAAAAAACAGGACAGCCAGCTCATGCAAAGGTTAAGTGCAAGTTCGCCCGTCCATCTTTGTGGTTTGCTGCCCATCCTTCCCAAATCCTACAACCTCCTGGCCTTGACTATTGGTGCTCAGCACTCTGGAGTGGCGCACATCGCTGACTGCAGCCGTACTGCCTGGGCGCCCTTTGACAGATGGGTCTGTTTTCCACGCAGATCGAGGGAGGCAGTGGTGGTGCTGAACACCTGTGGTAATTTCCATCTGGAATAGGTTCTTGTCTCTACAGTTCTGCCTTGTTGTGTTTGCTGAAACTGTGTTTCTTTCCCGAGGGCCCAGAATGGCTGGTCACAGGGGCCTGGGGAGAGGCTGAGGCTGGGAGCCGTGGCCCTGTCCTGTCTGTGCTGTGAACATGCCTGACCTTGACTTGTGTCGCCCGCTTTCTCTCATCCTTCCTTCCCTCTAGGTCTGTGCTGTCCAATAGGGGAGCCAGCAGCCACCTGTGGCCAGTGAGCGCTTGAAATCCAGCTCGTAAACGGAGGGGCTCCATTTTCCATTTATTTCAGGTGAATCAATTTAAATGTAAAAACTGACACAATTCAGTTACTGGGAAACTCTAAAGTATGTGAAACTTTATATGAAACTACTTTTTCAATTGTAGATGTAACGAAATCTAAATACAGATCCATGTATTTCTGACAAAAATTTAGTGCCTGAATAGAGATGTGCTATAAGGATAAAATACATACTGGATTTCAAACACTTAGCATGAAAAAAAGAAGGTAAAATATTTGATCAATACTTTAAAAAATAGGGATGATATATTGAAATAACATTGCAGACATCACATTAAGTAAATTGTAAAAATTAATTGCACCTTTAATTTTCTTTCATGTGGCTACTAGAAAATTTAAAGGTACACACTGGCTTGCCTTACATCTATTTCTACTGGCCAGTGTAGAGCAGCTCTCGCCTCCTTTGCATCCTCCTTAGACTCCCCCTGCCACCGTTGTAAGACTTTACAAACTTAGAACACTTAGTTCCCATGTTATGTATTCCTCCCATACAGACTAAACCTGGGGAGTGGGGGAGAGGGAGGGACCCTATGCATCTTTGAACCCTTGTTGTGGGACATAGGGTCTGCCACATAGCAGACCCTCCAGAAAGACTTGTTGGACAAACAAATAAATTAGGTACAGAATTTTTTAAAGTGCTGTCTCTTCACGAAATGGATAAGGTGCATGTTGACCATTACACATTGAATATCTATTAATGAGACCTTATTTGCCTCCGGTGAGTGGCCACCAGAGCAAGCTCTTTCTGCTTCGATCTTTGCAGGGCACAAGTGCTGTCCCTGATACTTCGGTCCTGGAGCCCCGGCACGAAGCACACACAGCAGGCTGACCACCGAACCAGGAGTCCTGGGGATGGAGGTCACCAGAGGAAACGGAGACCTGGTGCATGTCCTCAAGAGGCCTATAATCTAGTTGATGATCTGATCTTAAATTCAGGAAATGTTTTAAACTCTCTCCAAAGGTGTGTAAAGCTCGGTGGCAGAGATGGTGTGACTTTTCAGCAGGAACATTTATGCGGCCCTGATATTTTTACCTGGATTCTATTTCCCAATCCTGAAACCCAGCTGCCCATCAGACAGGCCTCAGATGCATGTGGCAATTCTTTTGAAACCAAGTTTCAGAGGGGAATGTGAATCTACCTCCAGGCTTCTCTATGCATTTTGTAGGCTCTCTTGGCAGTGGCACCCGCTTCAGAACAAGTTCTTTAGATTTAGGGGCAAACTGGCCAAAGGAGGGACACATATATTTCTTATTTGCTGGGTCAAGTATCACAGTTTCTTAGGTCCTTGGAATCCTGGTAGTTGCACTTCAGAATCCCAAACTCAAATACTATATACTGGTATATAAACTCAAATACTATGGCCTGGTTGTTCATCTATCTGAGGACTGAAGCCCCAAAATCTTAAGAGAATTCCCCCTTCCCATCGAGGAGGAAAACATTTTTTGTGAAAGTTAAACCCACACGGGTTCCCCAGGGCAACAGAACCAAGAAGTGACACTGGGGGAGTGGTGTGTCCTGAGCCCCTGCCATCAACCGTCCACCACGGGGCTGGGTTGAGGGGCATTGGCAAAGGGCAGGAGGGGAAGCGAGCGCCCAGCTGGCCGGAGTGAGGATACACGGCGGCGTAAGGGACGTGGCCCAGAACACCGGGGCCGGAACTGAGCAAGAAAGGAACTGAGACAGATGTTACTCTGGAAGCCTGCGCTGTCAAATTCCTCAAAGCACAGAAATGCCATCAATACCGTGTGTTCCTCTAGAATAAAACTCATGCACACGAGGTGCCTGCACTGGCTTTCCCCGTCCATCAGGCACGGCCTTTCCCCAGCAAGATGCCACAGAAGGGCGGGACCCATGACAGAGGTTCACCTTACCTTAAGACTTGGACATTTGGGGGAGCTCAAACTCATCGACGGGAGATGCTGGGGAGAATTCGTGGGCTACTCAGGCAAACTCGGCACCTGCCTCTGAGAGCTGGTTGGACGTTTGACTTAGAAAAAGACTCTCAGAAGGTGTGACTCAGGGCCTCATGGAGTTCTACCATGGAGATGAGGGTTGCTTTTTGATGCAACGATGTATCGTCTGCCATTGGCTCTGCTCCATGCTTTCACATCAAGAGAAACCGGGCAGGGGCACCCACTTACTTAGTCCCAGCTGGGCTAGTTCTTCAAGCTGAGCCTCAGTCTTGGCTGTTGAAATGGCATAAGGCAACTTCAAGGTAAACGGCAGGACGTCCCTGATTTTTCAAAAGAGAGAATACATGTAATTACATGTCTCTTGCTTTCATTTCCATCCTAGAGATGTTTTAGCTTAAACTATTTATTTTTGTTTTATTTTTTAATTGAAGTATAGTTGACTTGCAGTGTTTCAGGTATACAGCGAAGTGATTCAGTTTTATACATATAGATTCTTTTCCATTATAGGTTATTACAAGGTACTGAATAGAGTTCCCTGTGCTACACAGTAGGTCCCTGTTGTTTGTCTATAGTTTAACTATTTCAGATGGCCCAGACATCACAGCATACCCAACCAGACTCGTCTTTACTGATAGGACTGTGGGATCACTACTCCTGCCTGTGTTAACACACGCAGGACAGGCTGAGAGACAAGCCCGCATGGTTTCAGTATTTGCAGCGAGGACCAAATTGCCTTCCTGGGCAGCTAAGCCGTATCTAGAGTTAATATCAGAATCGCTAACTATGTTGGTGGATCCATCACACAAATAACACATTAGGTATTGATTTGCTAGATGCTCTGAATGTTGGGCCCCGACTCCCTGGGCAGGAATGTGTGATCCTAAACCAAAATGTATTACCCCCCTGCCTTAGGCACGCCAGATTCTCAATGAATGTCTGTTGGTGTTCTTTGTGACGTGTTCCAGCTACAGCCCATGTATTGTCCTTTGTGTGCTGGGGACAAAACTCCCTCTCGAGTCTTAAGGCAGTGCTTCTCTAACTGTAATGTGCACCTGAATCTCTGGGGGGTCTTGAGGCTGCACTCTGACTCAGCAGGTCTGGGGGAGGCCGGAGGTTGGGCGTTTCTGTCAAGCTCCCTGACCCTGGGCCATGCTTTGAGCAGAAAGGCAAATCTAAAGGACCTCATGTGACAACACTTCCCCCAAGCAGCATCACGCCACGTGTAGACCAGGAAGCAAATGCACTGCAGCATCACAGGCCGGCAGACCCAAGAGGAAGGAGCTGGGCTGGCACCAGGCTCCTGCTGCGGCCAGGGCATAGCGTCGCCACCATGACCTCCTGCTTTCTCCGAAAGGGCGGAGGCAGACTTCCAAAGCACTTGTTCATCTTCATGCACAAGGGTTAGGATCAGGCTCTAAGCACTGATGAAATCCTCACGGGGCTCAGCACAGGGCCTTGCCTGACACAGATAGGGAGAGAATGTGTTTTGAATAAATGGATGAATGAACATGCAATGACAAGGGTGACTTATCAGAAAAGGACTTATTTTTTTCAGTGGTGGCACTGGTGTTACAAAGAAAGAACTCATTCATCCATCCAGCAAAGTCTATGGTCATCTATGATGTGCCAGGTGCTGGGAACAAAACAGACAAAGTCCCCACCTGCGCAGAGCTTCACTCCAGCGGACGCCAGCAGACAGAAAACAGTAAAGCAATTCATAGAATACATGGGAAGGGGATGTGCCCCATGGATAAAAGTAAAGCACAAAAGGGGATAAATAAAGAGGGTTCAAGTGTGAGAGTTGGCCAGGGAAGGCCCCCTGAGCAGGTAGCATTTGACTGAAGATCTAAAGGTGGCCAGGAAGTAAACTATGAGGGAAAGAACATTCCAGGCAGAAGGAGCAGCAGGTGCAAAGGCCCTGGGGTGGGAGAGGGTCTGGCATGTATGAAGAACAGCAAGGAGACCCCACCCCCGCCCCCCCGTGGCTGGGGTGGAGAAAGTGAGGACAAAGCTCGGAGCTCCTGCCTGTGTTCTGTCAACACAAGATGACCTGAACATTTCCACTGAAGAAAATAACTATACCAAACAACTAGTCGTTTACGCTAAGATTGGGCAACACTGTAGGCTGAATCAGATTAAATCTGGATGACTGGAGACTTTTGGAACCCTTGAGGCTGTTGACAATGAATAACAAATTAGTAAGGTCGATGGAAAGAGCAAAACACGAGGGCTCACATAAATGCTAGGAGTTGGCAGTCGGGAGGCTCCTCTTTCCTGGGGTATTAAGCCCGGGGCACCTCCTGCTTCCAGGAGAGCCTTTCATCCGTCCCCACTGTGAGCACCTCGTCCACTTGCATCTGTTCTGGGTGAAGCAGGTGGAGCGTCAGGGGATGCAGCGTTTGTATAAGAGCTGCTGCCGGACCCAGGAGAGGCCATGGCCCCGATTTTGATGTTAAATGAAGACTATTGAGACCAGAATTTTGTAACGTCAAAGCATCATGCGAATCTGTATTTCCATGGCTGTACCCACTTAATGAAAACCTACTTTCTTTAGGCAATTGGGAGGAAAGCCACACGTAACAAAACCAACCTACGTTTATTTTAAGGTTTTACTTTGCCCAGTGCAGTACCTAGAGCCTAAATATTGCATAATTGGTTTGGGTTTTCCTTAATGACAGAGATGACAGGAAACTACACCCGTCATTCACTAATGGGTGGTTTTAGGCTTTGATCTCCTAGAAAATTAGATGTTGTGCGTGAGTACCCTCCCACCGTGCCAGCCAAGGGCATGACACAGCCTCTCCTCTCCCTCTCTCTCTCTCTCTCTCTCTCACTCACTCAAACACACACACACACAAGAGGGGGCGCCTCCATCTCACCTAACCCTGGTTCTAAAACTTGCATAACAGACAAAATAAAGCCATCTTCTGTATAAACGTTTCACTCAAGAGTTTTAATGCATGCATAAGTTAGATTTATTATTTTAATATTTTTTTACTCTATATGTCATATCTCTAAAGAGGAGGAGACTGACTATTAATCTCAAAATGTCAACGTAGGGATTTGCCTGTGAGCATCTTGTGTTGGCATCATGCTTTGTGGGTCACCAAGCCTTCTAGGTACTCTGTCCCCTTTCAGTCACCAAGCGACTCCAGACAGTGGCACTTAGTTTACAGTGACCACTGAGGGGAGAGATGGTACCTTTCGTGCATGGCTGCCAAATCCTGTTTTATAGGCGGGATGATCTTTCACAACAACAGCAGGTTCATCAAGGAGCAAACTATAATGTGTAAATGTCGGCCAGCCTCACCTCTGACCGACACACCAGGGTTGATAGTCACTCCCAGGGGCTGCCAGGCTCATGCCAGTGCAGGTGTGCATCCCTGGGGATGTGAGGGCTTCTGCACTGGCCTCCTCGATTTGGGCGGACTTCCTCACACAGGTGAGGGCTCCTGCCCACACCCTGGCAGGTGGCAGCCCCTGCAGGGCACTCACAGGGCTCTGGTCCCATTCTGGAGGAAGCCCCCCACTTCTTCCCGCTGGCCTCCCCCTCTGGAAGTGCCCTCCCCCATTAGGCCACTGACTGCAGCTTCGGCTGGCCTGGCCTGGGGACCTCCAGGAGTGGATAGCTTGGTGCCTACCTTCCCCCCAACCCCCAAGGATCTAGCCCATCTCTGCTCTATCGGCTGTGACGGATGCACAAGAGAAACCAAGGAGGCCAACTGAGCCAGGCTACCTGAGGGGAGGCAACATCGACCTCTGCAGACAATGAGTTTTGAGCCTCATTCGTGGAAAGAACCCTTGATTTGAGAAACTGGGATGGCTCACAGAAAAGAAAGAAGAAAGCCTTCCCCAACTTGCACTCCCCTGACACTTTTTAACATCGGGATTTGGGGCTTGGCTTCATGTAGACTGAAACAGTCCCTTTAGTTACAAAAAAGACAGGGGTACCCAGCGGGCCTGAAGGAGAGCGATGCAAGGTTTATGGACTGGTTGAAGGAACCACATTTCTAGATGATCTGCATCCACTGGGTTTTTTTCAGAAACATTATCAGGGACCTTTAAATGTTACACGCTTGCATCACGGGTCCCTTTCTGCGTGCGCGTGTTATTTTACACTTAGAGGGGCTGGGCTAGTTATTCTGATCTTAAGCCTGGCACAGGGGGCCTGGTGACCCTTTCACCTCAGGGGCCAATCCTTCCAGGGACATTCAATAGGTGACAAGCCTTCCAGAGCCCTGCGCCTGGGACGAATCAAGAAACCCGGGGGCCGGTGATAGCGCACACGCCAAGCAGGGGCTTGAAATCGGGAGACGAAGAGCCTTACCTGCTGATGCAGTAGAAAGCAATGAGCCGGAATAAATCCGCAAAACTGATTCCTGAGCCTTCCAGGGAAAAGGCTGGAAAAGAGAGAGTTTGGAAACCAGCTGAGTGTCCCTGAGCGCATCCTGGGAAAGGAAAGGCCCTCAGCGCTGGATGTTGCCTGCTGCGAGGGCAGGAGCATCTCTGTGCTCCCTGACCGACTCTCGCACGGCTGACAGGAACCAGCTGTGCGGCCGCCAGACACAGGCCAGGGGAGGGGCTGGGGGCCTAGAAGTCTGGCCCCTGACTCATTGGAGCACGTGCTCCAGTGCCTGGTAAACAGACCAGCGCGGACTCAAATGACACAGCTAAAGTTTGGGATGCAAAGCTGGGCAGGGTCCAGGGGCCAGACTGGCAGGAGTGAGAGGCCTTCAGGAGACAGGGCTTGGGGGACGCCAAGGCCCCACCGGCCCTTGACCCTCCCGGGCTGGACCTCCTGGGTCACAATCCTCTTTGCCAAAATGGGCCACTTCTGGTACAGACACGAGGCAGAGAAGGAGCTCGAGGCTTGGAGGATAACACGGGGTTCTCATAAATCAGCTTTGAGTTCAACTCTGTAGGCAAGATTCTAAAATTCATTTATTTAGCCCCTACCCACTCCCACCACCACCACCAAGCGTGCAAGCATGCAAGAAATATTCTGTCAAGTCGGTGTGCCATTTCATACATCTTCTAGTTGCTGGAACAGAGAGTGGCTTGACTTCAAAAATTCATGTATTTGCCAACCACTCGTCACTCCCTCTTTGCTGAAATGCCACCCCTGCAGCCATTCTTCCAGCAACATTCCAAAGAGCCTCAGTTGTGTGAAGATTTCCTCATTTCCTCAATCAGACGAGTTTCTCTCCCTTCCATAGCCTCATTTATTTTGCTTATTACTTGCTTACATTGTATTATTTCACTTACTATTTCTGTAGCACCCAAAACACATCTATACCTCCACACATATACCATGAGCGACAGACAGACAGACACAGAAACAGAAACACACACACATGTGCACCACAGTTTCGTGAGTTAAGTAAAAGGGAATGGACTTGGGGTAGGTTAACCTGTCTGAGCCTCGGTTTTCTCATCTGTAAAACGGACAATAACTGTACTTCCCTTGTCTCCCAGAAGGATAGTAGTGGGAAGTGCAATTTTTTAACAAATGTAGTAACTTAGGGTCTTCCCTGGTGGTCCAGTGGGTAAGACTCCACGTTCCCAATGCAGAGGTCCCAGGTTCAATCCCTGGTCAGGAAATTAGATCCCACACACATGCCGCAACTAAGAGTCCGCATACCGCAACTAAGGAGCCGGCGCAACCAAATAAGTAAATAAATGAACATTAAAAACAAATGGAGTAACATGTGAAAGAAATCTACACAGATATGAGGTGGTACTTATTATGAAACACACTGTCCAGATGTTATGATAAAATATCTATGTTTTTAAAGCCAGCCCTTCCTCTCTCGGTGCACCTCAATTTGCAGAGAAGGTAGACCCTGGCCGGGAAGGGGCCATCCTGGTGGGACTGAGGCCTTGTGGTAATCAGTTATAGGCAGGTTAATTCTTTGCTCAGACTAGCTCTTTCAGCCACTTTAAGTCACCTGGAGAGGACTAGGGAAGTGATAAAAGTCTTTACAAAATAGGGAGGAAATTGTTCAGCCACGGAGGGACCTCAGGCGAACAAGTAAAGTTTAAAGTACAAACACTAATTGTACTTATTGCAGGAGGGGAAGGAGGGATTTGCAGGCTAACTTATCATGGTTAACTTTGGCTGTTAGAAGGTATTCAAAAACCACTTAGAGGACTTCCTTGGTGGTGCAGTGGTTAAGAATCCTCCTGCCAATGCAGGGAACATGGGTCCGGGAAGATCCCACATGCCACGGAGCCACTAAGCCCGTGCGCCACAACTACTGAACCTGCACCCTAGAGCCCGTGAGCAACAACTACTGAGTCCATGTGCCACAACTAACTGAAGCCCGCGTGCCTAGTGCCCGTGCTCTGCAACAAGAGAAGCCACCACAATGAGAAGCCCGCGCACCGCAACGAAGAGTAGGCCCTGCTCGCCGCAACTAGAGAAAGCCTGCACGCAGCAACAAAGACGCGACGCAGCCAAAAGTAAACATATAATTAAAAAAAGAAAAACAACCACTTAGATATATCACTTCTTGGCTAGCTGAGCTTCAAAAGCCAACTCAGAATCACCTTTCTTCATTTAATATTTAATTCATTGCCTTTCAGATGGTGGGTTTGAAATCTACCTTCTGATTCCCTCCTAATGTAAATAAACCGGCGGATCATTAGCCAGGTTCAGTTACTGCTCAGATGACTTTGCACGTGGAAGCTTTTCCCTGAAGCCAGGGACCTTGGGAGAGGCCTGGAGGGAAAACATCATGGGACCTGAGGCCAGTCATACATCACAGAGAGGCTGCTCCAGAAACACCTCCTCCAGACCCAGTTAATGACTCTTGGGCTCAGCAAGACTATGAACTCTGGGCTGAGTGGAAGCCAGTATCTGCCCTGAAATTGGTCTCAGGACCTTCGGCTCCTTCCAAGGCAGGGACTGAGGCTCGCTCATGTTATAACAAGAACCTGGTCTCCGTCATCTTCTTGGATAGTTGACCAGCACCCAAACTCGCCTTCACACCTCAGCTTGCTCACCTGTGGCTCAGTGAAGCCTCCCCCTTGGGGGTGTAGGTCCATCTTCTGATTGCTGCTGGGAGCCTGTCAGGACATCAGGACTGTTTGTTCCCTTTCCCATTGAAAACTTGGCCTTCCAAGATTTCAGATTTCCAATGACCATGGTTCAGCAGAAAGAAACTGACACTCCTGACCACTATCCCTCCAAAACTTCAGCCAGTCCATTTTTTCCAAAGGGCTAGATTCTGCCTACGATCAGCTGCCTTTGATAGCACACTGAACAGTGACGGCCTAGAGGGAACATCTCCCCTCCAGGACTATTCACAGAGCTGTGCAGACACACTCTTTGGAGTGAGAGCCCATAAAAAGGCTCAGCGGTGCAGCCCACCCTGCAGCTTAGTCATCAGCAAACCTGGGGACCGCGCCCTGCATAACTGGGAAGAGGGCGAGGAAACCAGCCTCTGTTAGGCCCCTGCTGTATGCCAGGCAGTAGAAGGCGAACCTTGCACACAACTGTACTGTTAACACTGTACAGATGTCGCTATACAGATAAGAAAACCGAGGCTCCTAGGGTAGGTTACCTGCCCAGTCATCCTGGGGACAAGCGATTAGCGCTGGGACACAGACCCACGTCTGTTCGTCTCAAAGTGCAGGCTCTCTCCTCTTCTACTGGCTCAAAGACCCCAGGCCCCCGTGTCACCGGGACCTAACCACCCGATGACCACTTACTGTATGTGCTTTCCTTTATGGCAAATTCCTTGAGTGGGGCTCCAAATTCACAGGGCAGGCGAAGGGAGAGGACTTTCTTCTGCATTTTGGTGGATTTACGAACCAGGAAGATCTAGGGCAGGGAAAAAAAAATTCAGGCTTAGGAAACATCTCAAAGGCTGGGACCTGGGCATGTGATAACCTGCACACCCAGCATCCATGAGTGGAGCCCCTCTTGTAGCCGAACTACACGGCCTAAGGCAGAACACTACTGCCATGGAAAGGGGTGAAGAGCAGGCAGGCCACAGATGCCCTTCTTGGGTAACTGGCCTCAGGAGAACCCCACTTTCCCTTTGCCAGAACCTTCTCCATGAGGCTAAGTCTGCAAAAGCATTTTCAGTCTGGTGACTGCTTTACAGCTCACGGTACATATTCTCTAGCCTGTGTCTGATAAAGGCATCCCGGTTGACGAACCCTAAATTTCTAGACACAGGTAACACGGCTAAGCCATAGGTGGTGAATTAGAAGTTCTTTGGCTAATTTGGCTTATGGGTGTATTTAAGATAGAAATCTGAACTTGCTGCCAACAGTGAAAAAGCACGAGGTTTTTTGTTTTTCACATTGAAATCCGAATGTCTAGCTTCTCTCGGAGAATGGGATGATAAGGCAAGACCAGGCATGGCCACATCCGCTGGAGCTGAAAATGGCAACTTCCCTTGTGAGACAGGTAGCTGGGCTCTGAGGTTCGCCACAGCCAACACTGAGGTGGCAGTCCTAACTTTACTCCTGACTCGCTTCACTTTGTGACAGCTCCCTCCAGTTCCAAATAATGTCTTTAGATATATGGGTTTTTTTTTTGTTTTTTTTTTGCGGTACATGGGCCTCTCACCGTTGTGGCCTCTCCCATTGCGGAGCACAGGCTCCGGACACGCAGGCTCAGCGGCCATGGCTCACGGGCCCAGCCGCTCCGCGGCATGTGGGATCTTCCCGGACCGGGGCACGAACCCGCGTCCCCTGCATCGGCAGGCAGACTCCCAACCACTGCGCCACCAGGGAAGCCCTAGATGTATGTTTAAACCCACCCAACCCCCGGTGCTGATCTCAGGAGACCATCCTAGCCTCTGTCACTGCAGAGGTGAGTATGCCGTGTACTGCTCTGTGCAGGCCATGCACTGCACAACTCCAGGGGGCGCCACCTATTTAGACAACAAATCAAATGGCACTCCTTGGAGTTTGCAGTGTGGTGATCCGCTGCGTCCTTGTTCCTTCCTGGGGTACATGAGCCTTCTCCAAGAATCCCATCCTGCCCTGTTTCTTTACCTACGTCTCTTTCCTCTGCATTTGGATACCTACTCTCTCCTGCTTTTCTAAAGCCTTTTAGTTTTTCCACCTAATCTTCATTTCTTTCTCGATGTCCAGTCAATAGCTCCTAAGATGATTTTTGGGGGAGGGGGGGTAATGGGAATTGGGTATCTGGTAAGGAGACAGGAAGATCTTAAGTTCCCTCTTTTTTCCCAGCACCCATAGGGAGGTAGCCAAAAAATTTGCCAGCTCTGGGAGCCAATGGCTCTGGGTCACCCTGAAGCTTAAGCAGGTGTTTCCTCAGTGCTATCGGGTTGAGTAAAAGCCCCAAAGTACTGGTGGGAGGTAGCTGCTGGTAGGTGGAAAGAAGTATCGCTCCCTTAGGGAGGTGGGATCTCCTTGAGCCTTAGGGTCAGGGAGGGCACAGCCTCTAAGCTGTATCTCCTGAACGTCTGAAACCTTAGGTCAACAGTTGGTAAAGCATGGCCTACAGACCAAATCCATCCTGCTGCTTGCTTTCACAAACACAGTGTTATTGACATACAGCCTTGCTTCTTGGTTTACATACTGTCTATGGCTATGGCTGCCCTACGATGGCAGAGTCAAGTGGCTGTGACGGAGACTGTATGGGCTACAAAGCCCCAAATAGTGACACTCCGACTCTTTATAGAAACAGTTTGCCGGCCACTGTCTTAGGCTGTAGATGAATCAGGGATGGTGGCAGCCCAAGGACCAGATGCCACCAGAGCTGCTCTTTCAAATCTCTCTCCTTCACACACCTGCCCTTCCTTCTCTTCAGCAGCCTCACTTCTCCTGGTGAATCGTGGCCTCTCCCATCCTCACCCCACCCTCGGCCTGCCCCATCCCGTCAGGCAGGTCCTGCCCAGGGCTCAGATAGGTGGAGAACCTTCTGCCTGACTCGTTCCCCATCAGGTCTCAGCAGGAATGGACGTGCCTGACTCCAGGAGTGGGGACAGGCAGGGAGGGGAACTGTTGCCTAGCAACATGGCAACCTCCCTCTTTAGAATTTTTTGCAGAAATACAGGAGCAGACAACTCAGCCTGAAAAAAGTGGGGGCCTCACAGAAGGGGGTCCTGATCATATAGACCAAAACCAAGGGCAACAACCCGGCACGCTGGCCAAGGAATTCTCTGCAGAGATGATCGAATACTGTGCTTGTCACCCTGAGTGTGTTCCAACAGAGGACTTAGTCCTGTCTGCTTCTGTCAGATGAGAAACAAAGACTCACTTACAAGTCAAAAAGTGATCACTGACAAGCTCTGGCTGATAGAAACTTAAACGTTTATTTTTGTGCCCAACTGTTACAACATTCTTCAGCCAGCTACTGAAGGAATTTTCTCCTTGCCTCTCCATCTATTTCTTAGTTTCTATCTCTTGTTATGTGTTGTTTCCAGTATTATTTTATCTGTGATTTACTGTATTTATCCTTGTTTTGGAAGTAGACATTGTACACCAGCGCTGTCCAGTAGAACTTTCTATGATGGTGGAAATGCTCACTACTTTGCACTATCCATCCAATATGGTAGCCACCAACCCCTGGGACTAGGGAGCCCTTAAAATGTGGCTAATGCCACAGAGGAACCGAATTTTTTATTCTATTTTATTTTATTAATGTAATTTAAATAGCTACATGAGGCAAGCGGCTACCATGACAGACAGCACAGGAAGTACCTACCCATCACTGAATAACATTTTCTGAGAAACTTCTCTAGCGTCATGGAGTGGGCTTGAGTAAGATGAGACTGGTCTTGGGTAGGGGGGAGCTGAAAAAACCCAACTGGACTTTGATTTGTCCCTGAGACAATCCAAGGAAAGGAGGATCGCATTGACAGCCAGAGCAGACAAGACTATGGACATGGAACTTTTGAAGATTGGGTCCCATGTTGGATAGGTGGGCCCTGGCAGGGTTCCCAGGTTCATGCTGAAAGGAAAACCACAGGGGTGGTTTTCCTTTCAGCACAACCAGACTCATCACAACCAGACCCACAACCAGACTCATCCCCAACGTCATATCTCCAGAAGGCAGGCCCAGGGCCTCCAGCCAACGGCCCCTCCTCAGGACCCCGGTGCCCAGTTACCCTGCAGACCTGGGTACACATGGTCACCGGGCAGAGGAAGGCAGAAAGACAAATAACGAAGGGCTCTGTTCCTGGGAGCTGCCTCCAGAACTTCTCTGCGGTGTAACGAGGTACACACTGGGAACTGTGCTCCCTGCAGGCTGGGAAGAGCTCTCTGGAAGTCCATGTCTTTCTCTTTAAGGAAGCGGCAGCCCTGCCCACCTCCACCTGCTTTCCCGCTTCTGAGTCTTACCCCCGGAGGCTGTGCCCGTAGGACTCCTGCCGCCTCGTCTTCGCTCAGACCCAGCTGCAGCCATATGGGGTGGGTGTGCAGGAGCCGGTCCAAGATGCTGAGCCTGTTGGACAGGCTGTCGTAGCCAGAGTCCCGGGGACAGGTCTTCACATCCTTTTCCTCGGAGTAGCCATCGTCCTTGTGTCTCACCATGCTAGGAGAGAGAATTGGCAGGGGTCAAACGGCTGCGACACAATCCCCCACACAAGGACGGCATCTCTCGGTCTCCTTGATGGGGCTGTCCTGTCATCACCACCTCCTTTGCCTTCCCCTCCAGACTGAAAGCTTTCCGGGGGCAGACACCAAGTTCTAGTTCACTCTTTATCTCTAACGTTACAGACAGTACTCAACAACACTCAACACACCCAACCTTCTACTTCTAACCCAGTTTTCACAAGGTTCTAAACATCCTAAACGCTGTTTACTCTGTCTTCTGCCATAGAACATTTCTTACTTTGAGCCAAACACGCTAAATTCCGTATGGTAACCGTGAAATCAAGAGCATGACCAGGCAAGCGCTAAAAGCAAAGACAAACACTCACACTCACGCACACTCATTTTGTACCCAAAGAACTGCATTTCATTTCTTTCCAGGCACTTTCATTTTCCTTACTATATTATTTCCAATAGAAAACCACAGCTGAATGGTGTGTTTGTGCTATTCATAAAATCATATGAACATTATTCATAATTGCCATACATAAAGTGGAAACATCCCAAATCTCCATCAACTAAAGGATGGATAAATAAAATGTGGTATATCCATACAACGGAATTTGATTCAGCCATTATAGTCATTCATTCTTTTTATGAATGAGGCACGGGTCCACGCTACGAAATGAATAAACCTTGAAGACCCCACGCTAAGTGAAAGAAGCCCGACAAAATAGTGTACTGATTCTACTTATATGAAATATCTGGATTAGGGAAAAACACAGGGACAGAAAGATTAGTGGCTGCTGGGGGATGGGGAGTGGCGTGGGGTATCTCATGACTGCTCATGGGAGTGGAGGTTCTTTCGAGGTAACGAAACTGCTCTGGAATGAAGTGAGCTCATGGCCGTACAACTTCGTGAAATACTGAAAACCACAGAACTGCATGGCATGTGATGAAACCTCAAAAAAAAAAAGAAAAACAATTGGACTTCCCTGGTGGTGCAGTGGTTAAGAATCCGCCTGCCAATGCAGGGGACACGGGTTCGAGCCCTGGTCCGGGAAGATCCCACATGCCACGGAGCAGCTTAAGCCCGTGCACCACAACTACTGAGCCTGCGCTCTAGAGCCCGCGAGCCACAACTACTGAAGCCCGCGTGCCTAGAGCCCGTGCTCCGCCACAAGAGAAGCCACCGCAATGAGAAGCCCGTGCACCGCGGCGAAGAGTAGCCCCCGCTCGCCACAACTAGAGAAAGGCCACGTGCAGCAACAAAGACCCAATGCAGCCAAAACTAAATAAATTTATAAAAAAAGGTACCATACTGCTGTCCGTCATCTCCCTTGTCACCCAACCCTAACCCTGCTATTGAGTATTTACAAACGAGGAAACTGAGCCCCAAGAAGCTCCTGAGCTGTCCAGAGTAATAAACAACCATGAAATGGCAGAGGTAGAGATTCCAGAGGTCTGGTGTTCCTCCAACTTGGCAAGTAACAGGTGAGATCGTGAACACGGGGAGGCTTGTATCATGTGGTGCCTACTGTTGGCCCAACCTTTATAAATATTTTCTCATCTCTTCCTCACGGTAGCCCTGAAAGGAGGGGCCAGGATCCCAGTTTTCAAAAAGAGGACCAGAGGAGGCTCTTTCCTTCCTTGAGGAGCCTGCCCAAGGGCAGGCCTCTGTCAAGAGAGGGTGGAGACCCCTGCCCAAGGCTGCTTAAGCTCTGGGGTGTCTCCCCCTCTACCACGCTCAGAGCTCTCCATGAGCTGGTCATCAACGTGGCCCTGGAACAGCCAGTGGGACCACCAGGCCTGACCATCCATGTCTGCACAGCCGAGTTCAGGTGGGGTACACACCACCTTCAAATGTCTGCACCCAAAGAGACCCAAATGTATGGCCTGGAGGAAGGCTTTAACAGTGAGGAAGACAGGTGGTGGGTCTGAATGAAGGGGAGGGAGGGAAAGGAAGTGTGTCACCCCCACGTGGACCACTCCACCCCTAAGAGGAAGCCCACCTAAGTGAACATTTTGGGGCATGCAGGCTCAGAAACAGCCCCCCACGATAACAGCACGAGGGCCGCCAGAGACCCCCCCCTCCCCACACCCTCTCCATCACCTCTTGACTCGCTCCAGATCTAAAGAATCTCGTGTTCCCATTCAAGATTTACATTTCCTCTGCTCTCAGATATGTGAGTGTTTTTCTTTACCGCTGCTGCAGTTTTCCCGATGGGACCATCTGTGCCCAGAGAGGGCAGTTCCTCATTCTGGAAATACCATTCCAGGGCCTCCAGGTATTTTGAAGTGAATCTTTGCAGCTCTAGGAACAAACTCTTCAAAATGAAGCTGGTGTTAAAATTCCTTTCCCATGAGGTAAGGCAGGCAACTTTATGGCAGTGATTTTCACCCCTGGCTGCCCATGAAAATCACCTGGGGAGTTTAAATTTTTGTGATGGCTAGACTGCACCCCCATATCCAATAAATCAGACACTTTGGGGCAGAACGCAGACATCAGAATGGTTTAGGTTCCCCAGGGTACAGCCAAGTTTACAACCATTGCTTTGCATCAGCACTTGAGCCTGGGTGAGAAATCTCCTGGGGAGTGTGAAGCCACACTTCCTGGTTTCAGCCCCCGATATTCCGATTGTGCAGGTCCGGAGTAGGCCTAGGATTCTGCATTTGTAGCAGGTTCTGGGGTAACGCTGATGCTGCCAGTCCCAGAACCTGAGGAGCACGTGCTTGAGACCTAAGAGCAAAATATGCACTTGAACTCAGACCCAATTAGATTTTTTTTTTTTTTTTTTGGAGGGGAGGGGAGACAGGTAACAAGCCATTGAAAGAGTTCTGGGAACTCTAATAAAGATATATTTCAGGCCTGTCATCTCAAGTTGGCGATATTTTACCAAGACCAAATTCTACCACCTGTGACACGGCAATCCTGACACTCACGTGCTGAGAGTTGACACTTCTTCCTTCCTTAGAAGGGCCCATCCTGCTCATCCAGTTGTTAAGAAGCTATACAGCAGAAACTAACACAACACTGTAAAGCAATTATACTCCAATAAAGATGTTAAAAAAAAAAGGAAAGAAATATAAGAGTGAGAGAGATCCGCCTCCCCCCCAAAAAAAAGAAGCTATAAAGACGTTGTTCTGACAACAGACCTCACCTTTAAAAACCACGGCCCAGGGCGTCCCTGGTGGCGCAGTGGTTGGGAATCCGCCTGCCGATGCAGGGGACACGGGTTCGTGCCCCGGTCCGGGAAGATCCCACATGCCGCGGAGCGGCTGGGCCCGTGAGCCATGGCCGCTGGGCCTACGCGTCCGGAGCCTGTGCTCCGCAACGGGAGAGGCCACAACAGTGAGAGGCCCGTGTACCACAAAAGAAAAAAATATAAAAACCACGGCCCAGACAGGAAGGTGGTGAATAAGATTCATGGGGCCTCATAAAGGAGCAACCATAAATTAGACCTTGTCTTTGCAAATGACCAAGCTCACGCTTGTCCTGCTTATGGGGACAAGCCTTGGAAAAGAACTAATGAGGGAAATACTAAAACTGTAGTGGATGCTGTTGGCGCCCTGCCCGCCTAGACCGCCTTTACCGACCAGGCATCCATGCCCCTGCTGCTATGAGTGGGATGCGTCTGGGGTGCTAGTCCCACTTCAGAGCTCCCTGAGGGGTCAGGCAGAGGCGACACCCCTGCTGACCCCACATCTTTGCCTGGCTTCCGCCCCATCCCATCCTATAAGCCCTGTCTCTGGCTCTGTTTCTAGAGAATCCAACCCAAGAAAGAACCTGATGAGATGAATAGAACCATGATTTCTAAGACAGATGTCTGGATGCAGATGTGAGGGTGGGCAAAGGATGAGTGGCTTATAAAAGATAAACCACCAAGTAGGAGACTCAGGAGATGGTCACAGTGGGAAGACTGGCGCCTGAGACCTGGCCAGCTCCCTTTTTAAGCTTTGTCTGAAAGTGGCAAATAACATCTCATGAATGGATGCTAATGAAAGACTTAGGAAACAGAACGTTCAGAGCCTTAAAATATCTTCCCATGGATTCCTTATCCTGAAGAGGAGAAGATGCCCTGACAATGGAGGAACCTGGGAGACATCTCCCTGACCAAGCGATCAGGGTCAACATCTCCAGCACCTGACATGGTGCCTCTGACCTCTGATGCTCTGAGATTATAACACCACCAAGTCCTCCTGCCCCCAAATGTATTTAACCTGAATCCACGTGGGAGGAAACAGACAAATCCAAATTCAGGGACTTCTGCAAAACCACTGGCCTGACCTCTTCAAAATGTCAGTGTGGTGAAAGATTATTTAAAGAAAAGAAACTGTGGGTTATTGTAGATAAAAGGAGACTAAACAGATGTGATAACCATGTTGAGTGCACAGAATTGATCACACACGGCCTCGGAATAAAAAGCAGCTATGGGGTTTCCCGGGTGGCGCAGTGGTTGAGAGTCCGCCTGCCGATGCAGGGGACACGGGTTCGTGCCCTGGTCTGGGAAGATCCCACGTGCCGCGGAGCGGCTGGGCCCATGAGCCATGGCCGCTGAGCCTGCGCGTCCGGAGCCTGTGCTCCGCAACGGGAGAGGCCACAAAAGTGAGAGGCCCGCGAACCGCAAAAAAAAAAAAAAGTAAAAAAAAAATGATGGCTTAGATATACACTGGTTGACATAGAAAGATATTCTCAATGTATTGGATTGAGTTATTTAAACAGCATGTTATAAAACACTATAAATATTCAAATGTTCTAATCTATTTTACAATGTCTTCATTACTTTTTAGTTACTTTTGTAATAAAATAACTAGTCGTATTGTGGATAATAGATAAATGAGCAAAGTACTGAGATAATTCACAAATGAAGAAATAAAAATGGCCAATAGGGACTTCCCTGGTGGCACAGTGGTTAAGAATCCACCTGCCAATGCACGGGACACAGGTTCGTGCCCCGGTCCGGTAAGATCCCACATGCTGCAGAGCGGCTGGGCCCGTGA